CCAACCTCCACGAAAATCATGGACGGCAAAAAGGGAGGGGAACCCACCTCAACTTCGACCGGAATCGAAGCCCCGCATCTCGACCCAACTCGGCGCACACAGATCTTCACCATGTCATAGACAACTGACGACGGCGCGAGGACCTATGCTGGAGAGAGAGCCGCGACGTCTTGAGGGAGGATCAGCGCGGACCGGTAATGCCGGTGCCGCCGAGCGCCAAGCCCGGCTGAGAGAAGGCCGAATCAAATCTGGCGAGGGCTTTTTGTGTATAATTCTTTCAATTTATTATAGCTGGCATAGTTCAATTTTTTCAAACACATTCAATATTATATCAGTGTATTCCTTGATCTAACAAACACATACACACAACATATTATGTGTGTATCTATACTCCTATCGTCTCTATTGCACATTAAAAAGGGGAAGGTGAAGATGGAGATGGACCTTTAATACGAAATTCAATCAAACATAGCTCCTCCTTCAACCAGTGGTACGCGGCCGCTGATCCCCGGGGGGGTCCCAACAACACCTACAGTTCTTCGGCCAAGACAACCGTGGGCTTCGGAACGGAGCTTTTCAGCTGGGAGGACGGAAGATACGGTTGCGGAGCAGAAGCTACACAACAGAACCACTAGTGTATTTCTAAAGCATAAAAGATAAATGTATTTCTAATGAGGGAAGTAAGTATATATGGCAAAATATAAGATCAAGTTTGAATTACCTTCAAAACAATATCTAAGAGTACTATATAAAAGCCTCCAACCCTAAAACATATAGGAAAAAAACCAATACCGAAAATATCTAGGGACATATAAGTTCGACCAGTCTCGTGGTTCCGCTTCCTGTGAGCTCCACTTTCTTTTGCTCTTAGCATAATGAGGGTAAACCGTAGAACCGAACTTCTTATATTCACTGATCACACCAAAACTCTCTAACTCGGATGTCCCACAATCGTAAAACAAAACCGCACCCTTAGAGTCGAGGAGAATCACTTTGTCATTATTGTAGAGGCCCACAACCTTCGACACATCAGCGTCCGGAGGGAGATGGACTGTGGAC